ATTTAAATATTTTAAATGTATATTGGTATAAAACAAATTAAAGAAGGTCTAAAATATCACAAGACATTTCTCAAATTTTTTTAGACAGCGTACATTTTTTTTAAAATACGAGAACGCTATTTTATGAGCTTTTGGAAGTAACCTAAAATTTAGAAAATGGTTTAAGTTATGCATTTTTTATAAATTCATGCTTTAAAAAATCCAAAAAAAATCGAAGTCTTGCCCAAGGAACAATTTTTGTTAATATAATAGAAAAACAATCTTTAAATTTGGTAACAAAATTACAAATGTAGAATTGTATTTGCCACAATTTAATTTAATTACAATTTGCATACGTCAATGGTTTTCCCCCAGTGAACAATTGAGTTCCAGGGAAACGAATTAAATGAAAACAGACTGAAGGCAGCCAAGTTGAAAGCATCAAACAACATCAACGAGAGCAGCGAAAACAGCGAAAACAACAACTCCGCAAGGTAATTATATAATCAGGTGTCCATGACAGGCCTCAGTGGCACCGCCCTCCCCCCCCCTTTGCCACTCCCATGACCCCTGACCCGCGGCAATGAGTGCGAGCGAGCACAAATTGTAACCTTTGATGAAAGTTTTTCGCACAAACTTTTCGCCACGACAACGAACTCGATTTTCATTATCAGGCAAAGTTGGTCGCATTTGTAGCATTTTGTTGCCGTTGCCGCATTTTGAGCGGTCCATGTGGGCGAGTGTGTGTGTGCGAGTGTGTGAGCCACGCTAATTAACAGGCCTGCCAGCGACCACTCTCTGTTTTCCCTTCTCTACACTGGAAGAAAATGTTCGAAGACCGCACCTGAACCATAACTGGGTAGCTCTGAAAATTAGCAAATAATAAAGTTGAGCAACAATGCCATTCATAAACTTATAAGCCAATACTTATCATTTAAATGCTTCAAATGCTTGGAATTCGTATTTGAGAACTCCAAATAATTTTTAGTTTTCATATTCTTTGAAAAATAATGATCAAGTAATTATTATTTTGTAATTTCTTTATCTTACGTGAAACCAAAAGGTAGTAAAATAGGAAAACAAATAAAGAAAGCTTTAAAAATTAATAAATAAATACAAAATCTTCAAGAAAAATAACTTAGCAAATATAGATGTGAAACATTTTTTCTCTCTATGACTCTTAGGCGTTAATATATATACACAGAGAAAATTCTGGAGTTCTCATGTAAGTTGAAAATGTTCTTAAAAATAGAACGACATTTTTAAGTTGAAAATGTTTTTATTTTGCTCGAATCAAGTTGAATTGTGTTAGTATACTTAGTGTATACTTATCAAAAAGTTGTTAAATAAACTCAATTTAACTTTTCTCTTCTCACCATTTCGTTCATATGTATATTGATACCAAAATGTACTTACATGGTTTTTAAGAACGAATGTTCTCAATTCAAGAACAATGTTCTCAATTCAAGAACAATGTTCTTGGATACTTCTCTCTGTGTAGGTATTACTTTACATATTAAGTAGTATAAATACTATTTCGTAATATTCTTTTAAAGAAAGAACTCATTAACGAAACATAAAACAAAAATTATTTTCTTTTATATTTCCCATCACCAGTTTTGTTCAGTGCACTCTCCACACACTCTTTTTGTACGGCGGCAAGGCAGAAAACTTTGCCGCTTTTTGCCTAATACGCATGCATACATAATTGAGGGGAGGCCAGCGCCCACACACACACAATCGCACGCAGCCTCAGCCATTTCCATATGCATATCAATACAGATGCAGATACACACACACACACGCAGAAACCAGCAACACTCTAATAAACACAGATACAAAGCCTGACGCACGCACATTAATGCGGTGAGCCTGAAAATCGTCGGAGCAACACAAGTAGAAATCATGACGAGGCATGAAAAATTATACAGATAGATGATACCCTGCAATATGAGCAAGCTAAAAATGGAATTAAATTAATAAAAATAAATTATAGTCTTTAATTTGTTGTGTTTATATTTTATTCTAACAGAATGTAACATTTTTTCTATGATACATTTTAATCAAATATTTTTTAGGGGCTTTAAAATAGTCAGACCAGTTTTGTAAGTATCTTTAGTATGGTATTTAATTAATTGTAAATAATATTGTATTTAAAAAGCATTGTACAGTTCTAATAATTTTGTTGAATACATGACTAAATAAATATATAATTTGCCTAAATGTTAATTTCAAAAACGCAGAACTATCCAAGTAACGCTAAAAATATAGGAAAGCTTGTTTGACTCAGTCCTCCTAAAAATTCTAGCTTCGTTTATATTTATAGTATATAATTTTTAGGAGTTTTAAAATAGTAAGACCAGTTTTATAAGTATCTTTAGCATGGTATTTAAAGTATTGCTAAACAAAACCAGTACTAGAACTAAGAGTAGTTTATATTATTTGTTTGAATACCTGACTACCTAAATAAATAATTTGCCTAAATGTTAATATTAAAATATCAAAGTAAAGCTAATAATATTGGAGAGCTTGTTTAACCACTCAGTGCTTCTAAAAAATTCTAGGTAAGTATATATTTCCGCACATATCCCATTAGTTTGCGGGGTATATAAAAAGGCACTTTACTTTCACCACCACCCTTTTGTCCATATGTGTGCGGGGCACTTTGTATCTATGTGCGCCTGTGTTTTGTGTATCCTTTGGCTGCGAAATTGCATTTCATGAATGGTAATGTGCTATGATGCGAACCTCTCACCTCTCACCTTTCACCACCCCCACTCAGACCCAAACCCAAAATGAAACCCAAACTCCACCCATCCGGCGACCTTGCTGGATGGTCGGCATATCTGAGGTTGTGGCTCCGGTGGATTGGACATAGAAGCCGAAAAGGTTTCTCAGCCGAAAATAATGCAAATGGAAGCTAATGCTGCCAGCTGGGGGCTGTGCGAAATTCTAGATGGAGTCGAACCAGGAAATGTTTGATAAGCCCAATCAAAATGGGAAATAAATGATGATTTAACTCGTTAGTCGAGGGAAATGACTTAAAAGATATTCACAAAGAAGTTGGGGTAGGTATAACATTAAAACGTTGTGAATTGCCTTGATTATAATATATAATATATTATATATAGCATATCATATCAGATATATATCATAAAATTGTTCAATAAATGTCTTAGAATTTATTTTTAGGAATTTACGAATATTGCACTTTCATGAAATAAATAACGAATAATTTTTCTTTCTTTATGGGGACTTAATCTAAAGAAAAAGATTCTTAAAACTATTATATACATCATATAATATCACATAAACATCATTAAGTTGTTTAATAAATGCCCAAGATTTTTTTTTATTTACGATTGTTGCACCGTTAATAAATAAATAATAAATAATATTTCGTTCCTTTATGGGGACTTGTTCTAAAGAAAAGGGTTCTCAAAACTATTATATATATCATATTTAGGAATTTACAATTATTGCACTGTCAATAAATTAATAATAAATAATTTTTCGTTCCTTTATGGGAACTTAATCATAAGAAAAGGGGTCTAAAAAACCACAAAATAATAACTTAGCCATGGTTTAAAAAATTTATAATTTCCTTTGTTATAGCCTTAAGAAAATCAGAATATAAAATCCTGATTCAAGTGTCTTCTAAAGTTTTTATGATAGCATAACTGAAGTATATACACTTTAAATTGTGCTGTGGATTTGTCAACTAATAATCATCACCTCAGCAAAACGATTTGTGTTTTCATACTTGTTATTTGCAGAGCAAAACCTGTTGAGATGGCAAAGTGGAACCGAGATGTTGTTGTTTTTTAAATGGCTGAACAATTTCAATTTCACTCAAATCGAATTGAAATCCCAAGGTTTCGACACGCTTTGACTGTGGTTCCCAGGATTCTGGCAAGTGGGTGGTGGAAAATGGCTGGGGAAAATGGGAAAATGGCCTGGAAAATCTCCTAGTAGTGTGGTGGGTGGGGAGGGGGGTGTCAAAGTGCTGTTGTTTGCCTGGCACAAGCAATCGAATTGAAATTGTTGTCCCTATTCCGATGGCAAGTATTTAGCACATGCACAAATAATTGAAATGCAGCTGAGTCTTCATTTCCTTTGGCTTTCACTCGCCATCGAGTGCGCTAATAAATAAATTAGTCATAACCCATCCGTATATGCAGCATATATGCAATTATATATTTATATTCTGGCACTCTGGGGTTTTACAGGAAATTATCGAAAATTGAATGCAAATACATAATGTGCATGGGGCAACAACAACCGAAACTCGGACAACAAACAGATATAAATAGATGGACAATTTGCTTATTGTTTCCCATTGTATGTGGGTGGGCTAAAAAAGCAGGGGGGGGGGAAAACAAAAATTTAAATAAATAATTTCCCTGTTGTGTGTGTGCATTATTTATTTACCGATTTGTTTTAATTTCGCATACAAATCCATCGAAATCATAAATAAATGCAGGCAGCATCGCCCGAAAAACCCATCTCCGTGCTCGACATTGACGTTCGTGTCACAGTTGTATAAACTGAAAACTAAAACTGAAGCTACAAAAAACAAACATGAAAACATCTGCTCAGCTAATTGACTAAAGTGCCACTGCGTTAAATGTGTGTGCCATAAAAACCCACTTGGCCCCATTCGCTTGGCATTTGTCACAACATCAAGTGCCTGCAACGGAACTCTTTTGCCCGAAATAATAAAAAACAAAGCCATCAACTAGCCACTTAATCACTCGGTCCAAGCAGACTGGGCAATTGAAAATGAATTAGTTGCTGTTTTATTTGTAACTCGATCTAAAGTCCAAGGGGGGCAAAAAAAGTAAATTTTGGATGCACAAAAACATATCTTAGTTATAACGAAACTTTTTGGTAGGTTCTACTAATGGTATATTTTCCTATAAAAGTGTCAAGCAAAAACACAGGTGTTTCCCTCTTAAAATAAGTTTTTATTTATATAAGTTTTCCCAGTTATGTTTTTTTTAGTTATATGTAAAACTCACCTTTTTTATGAACGAATAAATATAATCAGTGCTGTAAAAGACACATAAAAAATGCATTAATATTTTATAAAAAGTAAAACAAAAGATAATGCCATAGTTCAGTGTTTTTTAAATACTTAGCAATCCTAACTAAAAATGGTACCTATCTACTTTTGGAACTGCCCAACTTTTTTCAATCTTCCATAACTTAGTAAAGCATATATAAAACAAAATAAAACCATACTTTGGACATATAAAATGGTGTCAGTCGAGTACGACGACAATTAAGACAATTTTGCTAGCCTGTGTTATTGATTTTTAATATAAAACTAAAAAAATTATAAAAAGTAGGCTTTGACTCTTCAGATTATGGATTATATATGGACAAATATTGGTTTGCTTGAAAATAATACTCGTATCCCGAATCATTTGTTCACAAGCAATTCATTTTTGAGTTAAACGACTTAAATCTATGACTTTTCATTTCTAAGAAGTTTATAGGAGTTTTTAGAAGTTTATAGAAGTTTTTAGAAGTATGGAAGTGCAACAAACAAAGTATGAAAGTGAGTTTTCTTTAAGTATACTTTCATGGAAAATGGTATTATATTTAAAGCACGGACGATCTGATCTCATTATAGTTAATAACTTAAGCCTGAAACCAGAGGCTAGACCATTTCCCAATTTATTCAAACATTAAGCAGAGGGCACTTGTAACCGTTCCATTGCATATATATTAAAAAACAAAACCGAAACTTGGTTTTTATGGGCACCAAAATGGGGTTAAGGGGAAAAGGGAAACCCTGTCTATATGAATAATAGAAAGCTGCATAAAAAATGCAACCGACGCAGCAGAGCATTATGCAAATATGCAAATAAATATCTCTAAAACATTTGTTTCAATTTCCCCACAAGCCGCTGTAGCCCCTTTTATGGCCCCGTAATCCCGTTCAACCAATTCCACGGATGTCACATCGGATGGCCCACAAACGATTGGATATAGCCCCCCCTATATCACCCCTATAGCACCCCTATATCATTCCATTCCGCTGCTGCTGGCTTGCATAAAATGGTTTTGAGCCTGGTTGGGCTCGAGTACAAAAGATTTTTGTGTGTCCCATAAATTTGCAGCGATGTCAGGCATTTTTTTTTCGGGTGGCAAAGGGTGTAGGGATGGGGTTTTCCTAAACCCCCTTTTGTGTTGGCCTTGTAAAACATAGCAATTTAGATTTGTCACCAGGGGGGATGGTAAAAAATGTGTTGCATATTTGTCGATTGCCATAATTAAGCCGTAAATGAGGCGCAAGTGGGCGTTTTTTGGGTTTGCTTTTTTTTTGGGGGGGGGGGGAGGTGGTTTGCCACATCATTTAATGCTCATTAAAATAACTGCGACGCGTATCCTTCCGCTCTGTCTGTTCCACTATCGTTTTCCCATTTTCCCCCTTGGTTTTCCCCCACCCACACACACATTTTCCCACTCTTTCTCTCTCTTTTGGCATTTGCGGCACTTGACATTTTGCGGCGTTTTAATTTGGCGCACGCTCAAGTGCTCTTCGTATTGCCAACAGCAGTGGGTGGGCCATGGGTGGCGTTGGAAAGTCGCCGAGGGGGGGTTACAAAGGGGGGTTGCAAAAGGGGTTGGCCGGGGGCTAAGCCGGCAAATGAATTGCTATAAGGCCAACGGCATGCCCCGGCGGATAACGAGCTTTGATTGCCAGTCGAGAGTTGATGAAATATCATGCATGGCCACCGCAATCATCATCATCATCCGAGATCATCCTCATCATTATCGGCATTTTCCATCGACATTCGAGGCAAAGACATGCAGTTGGTCTTAAGCCAGATCTATCTGGTAATTGGTTTTGGATACGCACTTTGACATTTCAGGCTGTAACGCAATTTTGGGGACTTAATGGGGTTCCTGTATGTAAATACAACAATTTGGTAGGTTATGGTAGCCTATATTATTTTTTGAAATTTAAATTTGACTATTTTGGTAACAGGAAATGTTTTGGAAAGAATAACATAAATATTTCGGAGCTAACTTTATTTCCACTCAAACTATTAACAAATATTTTTCATATTTAAAATTGATAGAAACTGGCCTTTTAATAAAATTACGGGCATAACAAATGGGTGCTTAAAGTCTACAATCTCTTTTCATATTTCCAATTTGCCAAACTTTAAAACTATTGAACTCTAAACAACTAACTATAAATCTTAACACAAAATTGCATTGGAATTTTCTTTAAGAACTAGTAGTTTATGTTCCTCATATATTATTTCCATAGGTTTTTAATATTATGGTAAATACTAAAATTCTTTAAGCCATTTGTTTTGGAGTTTTTGTACCCCTTTGCAATACTTTAAAAATATTTAACTCAAAAAAAACTAACTAAAAATCTTAGCACCTAAAATATTGCACTGATATTTTCTTTAAGAACTAGTAGTTTATTTTATTAAAGTTCAAGTGCTTTAAATCTATAGGTCTTGTAGTTCTTTGGTAAATATCAAAAATTCTTTAAGCCATTTGAATTGGAATTTTTATATCCCTTATGAGTGTTTCTCTTTATATTAAGTTTTAAATAATCTTCTTAAGATTTAAACATTTTTTTAAGATTAAGAAGTCAGAAACAGTGAAGTCTATTAATTTAATTCTAGGGCATCGTATTAGGAGTATTTAATTCAATTTTATTAGCAATAATAGGTTAAAGCCCCAAAACTTTAATATTGCAACTGAAAACAAATATGTTTATGAATGGGTTAAGTGACTCTTTAAAAAATATTTTATATATATTGTGAAACATTTTAATTGCCATTTTAGTTTTCTTTTCTAGAAAAGATTTTAGGTCATACATTTACAGCCTTCTAATAACATTGAAATATTTTTATTAAGCAATTAAATGTAAGGGATTAATTTTAATTGGCTTATAAGACAACCCCTTACTAACTGTGAGATCTTAAAGGGAATTTCTAAGCAAACCCCTCGGGAAACTAACTAAATTTCCATGAGTTTCCGCAGTATTCATCGGCGAATGCCTTTTAAATTCCACTGCATTCCTTGGGAGGACTTCACCCTTCAGCCACTTGACAAGGCAAAAATACGAAGATGATGTCTTTTGGCGCATTCCGCCCTTCCACTGGCAACTGTCACTCATAATTTGGCCAGGGATACATTAGTGTGATGGGATGAGATGGGTGTGGGCTTGGGATGGCATTGGGATGGCATTGGTTGTGGGTGCTCGGAAAAGTGGAGTTTCCTCATACATTTTGAATGCCGGCGACATTAGGTAGATGAGGTGGGCGGGGTTGGTGGGGGGCGGTAAGAGGCTTTGGTGTCTTTTATCGCCTTTTCATCGAAGTTATCTTGCATATTGCATGAGTCGTTCGCCATATGGAAATTTATGGCCGCACATACACACACTCGCACACTCGCGCGAAAATCGTTTAAATTTGAACGTGCTCGAGTGTGTGTGTGAGCCACAAACATGTCCTTATACATCCTTATCGACATGTGTGTGTGTGTGTGTGTGTGTGTGTGTTGATGTGGCTTACTCAGTTATAGATTTCTTAGGGGACCCTGTTTATTATCCTTTTTTATATCCTAGCTGGCTTCTGCTACGTTTCTTTTTTATTTATTGATGTTGTACATTTGAGTTAAGGGCGCAAAGCGTCGCCGCATTCGTTAGCCATAACTGATGCCGTTTTTCTTGCCTTTCCTCCTGCAGCTCCTTATTTCTACTTCCGTTTCCTCCCCACACACACACACACACATATATACAGTAAAAGCACGTGTTTGCCATGGCCTGCACTGCATATGAAACTGTAATACAAATATTGCGCATACGCCACATTGGCCCAGTGGCCACAGGAACTGCCCCCAATATCCAGCTGCCTTTTGAGCCAACCCCTTCCCCCAAAAAGGCGATCAAAAGTCGACGTCAACCACATATTGGTAGCCAAGGCAGTAAACATAACTAGCCCAGGTAACCGGGCCAAAATGTTATTTACTTTGGCCACAACTTCGCTTAAAGGCTAGCATCCACATAAATTCCTGTAGAAATTGAACGCCAAAACGTATTTATTGTTTAAGCGAATGGCCAGAAATAAAAGAAAAGCTAAGCGGAAGTTGGGAAATTTTCCGGACGGAAATGTCAGGTTGGGTGTTCGAGTGGAAATAAGCAAAAACATTTGGATATTGTAGGGGAATTTGGTTGAATGGAGTTTCTTGGCTTAAATGCAGAGCCTAAACCTTTAGGTTACCTTATCTTAATTCTCTTTAATTGCTTAACCACTGTCATAAAATTTAATATCAATTTTAGGCTTTAAATTAAGGCTACTACTGCCTTTTCCCCTTTTGATCGACGGATCCCTCTGACATTTTGTGATCCACTTGTCCATTTCCAATTCTCCGCATCACTGCCAAAGCCAAAAATCATAATTGATTCAGTTTTAATTGCTGCAACAGCACAATCGCAGAACGGGGGAGAAAAATCCGAAAAACGACCAAAAAGATTCGAACAAAATGGGTAAAAAAGGAGCAAAAAAAAAATGGCCGAAAACGACAGGCCAAAAGCAACGATCGATTTCATGCCAAGCCGACCTGCCACGCCCCTTATGCCACCCCCTTTTCTACGCCCCTGCGTCTACTGCAGTTGAATCAAATTTAATATTGGCTTGTCACGTGAATTTAACTGTGCCAAGCTGACATTTTGTTGGCTCTCATTTCACGTTAGATTGCACAAAAACCAGAATTGTAAAAAAGAGAAAGTATGTGAAAATAAAGATATGGGAGAACTGGCATAAATGCAAATAATGGAACAAAGTAAAACATGCTTTGATCAAATGACTGCGTTTTTGGTTTTAGACATATAGATCCATCAAACAAAGCTTCAAAGGAAAATAGGGGTGTCTTATTACTATTTTTTAAACCCCTTAACATGTGTAATTTATTCATTATAATTTTGTATATGTGTGGTTGATATGCCTAAAATGTTGTATAGCTAACAACATTCTTTATATAAGATGAAAATGTTTATGAAGATACTTTAAGAT